CGTCGGACTTGGCGTCGTCGTCGTCGTCGTCGTGCGTCGGGCGTCGTCGTCGTCGTCGCGTCAGCGTCGTCTGCGTTATTTGTTGGCGGCGGCAGCGAAGTCGTTGTCGTCGTCGTTGCCGCGGAAGGGGACGAGGGCTTGGACCCCCAGGATCTTTGTTCCGGAGGAGGGGGTGTCTAGACACCCGCGAACCATTTCCATGGCTGTGGTTGAGAAGTTCCGGCCCCCCCCGCCCCCTCCCCTGTGGGAAAACACACACACACCACACACACCACACACACACACACGCACACACACACACACAAACACACACACACACGAACACACGCACACGCACACGCACACGCACACGCACACGCACACGCACACCCACACCCACACCCACACCCACACCCACACCCACACCCACACCCACACCCACACCCACACCCACACCCACACCCACACCCACCACACCCACCCCCACCCCCACCCCCACCCCCACCCCCACCCCACCCCCACCCCCACACCACACACACACACACACACACACACGCACGCACACGCACACGCCACACGCACGCACCACGCACACGCACACACCCACACACACTCACACACTCACACACAATCACACACACAATCACACACACACACTTCACACACCACACACACACTCACACCACCCTCACACTCACACTCACACTCACACACCACACACTCACACTCACACTCACACACACACTCACACACTCACACACACTCACACACTCACACACTCACACACTCACACACTCACACACTCACACTCACACTCACACTCACACTCACACTCACACTCACACACACTCACACACACTCACACACTCACACACTCACACACACTCACACACTCACACTCACACACACACTCACACTCACACTCACACTCACACTCACACTCACACTCACACTCACACTCACACTCACACTCACACACACAAAAAACATACACTGTGGGAACACACACACACAGTGTGTTTGTGTGTGTGTGTGTGTGTCTGTGTTTTTTTGTGTGTTTCCCCCAGGCCAACAGCGGCCAACATCGTCATCCGTGTCGTCACCATCGTCGTCATCACCATTACATCCTCGCGCCCCTTTCGGGTGCCGCAGTCTCCCCTCGCAGCTGGGCAGGACGTGGGAGGCCTCCTCCTCCTGCTGCTCCCCCTCCTCCCGCTCCTCCCTGGAGGAAGGGCAAAAGGCGGAGGAGCGTGCGCTGGAGGCGGAGGAAGAGCGGGAGGAGGAGGAGGAGGAGGAGGAGGAGGAGGAGGAGGAGGAGGAGGTTGAGGAGGAGGAAGATGAGCCAGATGCGGAGGCGGCGGAGGCGGAGGCGGCGGAGGCGAGGCGGCGGAGTCGGCGGAGGCGGAGGCGGAGGTGGAGGTGGCGGAGGTGGATGAGGCGGAGGTCGAGTTGGAGGTCAGCAGCGGCGTCTTACCCACGAGGCGTGCCCCAACCCCTTGGGTCGCGCTCGTCCCGACCAAGCCATCCCCGCTCTCAGGGGATCGTGGGCGGGGGAAGGCGAACATGAGATAAGCGAGGTAGGGAGGGAAGAGAGGGGTGCGGCAGGAGGTGTGGCAAGAGGCATGAGAAGAGACGTCCTGGAGGCGTGTCAGGGTGAAGCAGTCTGCGTCCCAAAGGAGGAGAACGGGAAAATCAGCGGGAAGAGGGAGAAGAGGAGAGGACAGGGAGGAAGGACGGGGGGAGAAAGGATAGGGGGAGGTGAGGGGGAAGCGGGAGGACGGGAAGGAGCGATGGTGAGCGACTCCAGATAGACAGCTCAACAGAAAGAGCCGAAAGGGAGGTTTTGATTGGAAGGGAAGAAGGACGGGAGGGAAGGATGGAAAGGCCAACTGGGGCCGAACAATACTCAAGATGAACAGCAACATGGGAAGACGGAAAGTATAGCGTTGACATGTGTACATACACCTACCCACACGAAATAACGCGATACCTTAAACAAAATGGGAGGCATGTTCAACACGCTTTTGAAGAAGATTCAAGAGCTCGTCGGACCGTGCCCTGGAGGTGAGGATGGAATGCGACATGGGATGAGCGAAACACTACCATTTTGGCATCGAATCGGGGTTCTGCGGAGGTTATGTGCAGGCTGTTGCCTCGTGGGGCACGCCAACCAAGGATGATGAAAAGGGGGAGTGGGAGGAGAACTGGAGTAACCCACGGTGCATCAGCGATGCCTCCCCACATACGTCCCTATAAGCTTCCCCTTTCACTACCACGAGCGCTCCGGTGGGAGACCAACGCCACATGGGCCTGTCATTTTGGTGGGGCCACGTTATAAGCAGGACCTGCATTATATACGTCTGGTGCGCGATCAGGAACGCGAGAGACGATGACCATGCATCTCAACGAAGTGTCCAATGGTACCCCCCTTTTAATTGCTGGTAGCCGTGAACTTCGAATAGATCTCGAATCACTTGTAGCGTCCAAAACCCGGATAGCAGCGCAGGCCAAAGCGCGTGAA